GTTCACTCGATGGTTCTGGTTGAACATGTACGAAACAGCTTGTTGGTCGGTCATTAATTAAAATGGCGTCCGTTCAAATAATGTTTCCACTTCCGGAGAGCTTCTACAATTGCGTATGCTTCTTTTTCAATAGCCGGTTGATGTATTTCATGCTTGTTTAGAGATTTTAAAAAGAATACTACTGGCTGTCTATTCTGATTTAGTGTTGCAGCTAATGATAAATCAGATGCGTTGGTTTCCACAACAAAGGAGATTGTTTCATCAATCGTTTTTACAACAGCATAGGCAATATCGTTTTTTAGTAATGTGAATGCGTCTCCAGCTAGTTGATTAAGTGGGAAAGTTGAACACTGTAATAATGGACGTACTTTTTCCGAATATTTAGAGATGAATTTAGAGTAATAAGCAAAGAGTCCTACAACTCTTTGTAATAATTTACTGTTTAACGGTAAAGGTAAATTAAGTAGAGGCTGTAATCTCTCTGGATCTGGTTTTATACTATTATGAGATATAACGTAACCGAGTAGGTTTATACAGTTGACTGAAATTATGCTTTTATTGCTGTTAAACGTAAGCTTGTTTTCTTCTGTTGCTTTGTATAGTTTCTTTAAATTAGAGCCGAGTTAAGTTCGAGTCATGCCAGCTAAGGTAATTTTATCAACTCAGACCTCGTAGTTTTTCGATGTAAATATTTCACGCGAGAGTTTCAAGTATGTTCTGATATACTGCCCTCAATCAACTAATTTTACAAGACAGTCTGCAAAGTCTAACGTTGTAATGAATATTACAAAAGTAGATATCCTAATAAATGGACAGCCTGACCGTCTCTATTCTAATGGAATGTTACCATACCACTTCTTCAAAGAAATGCACCACTGTCTTGCTGGTTCTTCTCGTAATTCAAGTAATGAGACAAATATGCTAAGTAGTGAAAATGGTTTTCAAGCTGTAACACCTAACGGATACTATGCAGGATATGATACGCAGCAATTTTTAGCTATTGATTTCAGATCTGCAAGCAATCAGCATCTATCAGGAAGTCGTCAAAAATTAGAATACACAGGAGATGGTATCCAAATAAATATTTCACAAACAGCTGGTACTGGATCAGAAGACGTTGTCGTATTCCTTGTCAAGAATGCTGTCGCTCATTTCAAGCCAGGGCGTTTCTGTAATGTCGCTTACTAAAGGTGCAAAAAAATAGTAAAAAATGAGTGTGGCGTGAAAGTTTTTTGCTCCTGCTTATGTTGCAATAGGTAAAAACATTTTGGCACCTGTAAAAATTCCAAGAGTGGAAAGTTTGTGCAGCTGTAAAAAATCCAGGTACCTGTAAAAAAATGATATCTATATAAGTTCTTATCCTCTTTTTTATCTAGGATGGATGGTCCCTTCTTTGTAAAAAGTTTTTCTCACCAATAAAAATCTATGTAAAAATACGTTAAAATGCAAAAAAAAAATAGGTTAAAAATACAAAAAACATAATGAGCCATTTTTTTTTAAATCGTCGCTTTAGAACCTGGGGGGATGGTCCATTGACAAAGACCTTCTTGTGCAGCTGCTATATAACATAATTAAATAATAATGTAACACAAATAACAATAAATTTAACAATTTTAAACTCATTTGATGAAAGAAACAAAATGTATAAACTACCAAAAAAAAAATAATTTGCTTTCAGTAACAACTGATTTTGACAACAAAACAAAAAACTGTCATAACAAATGATAATTTCCAAATACTAAAATATAATAAAAGTGTGTATATCTAATGAAAGTAGTAATATTAGCATATAGTATATTAGCAATAAAAATAATATTTAGCAAATACTGATATTTAATATATTATAATTATAGTTGTAGCCGTAAAATATACATACCATATATACATACAACGAACAGGGAAAACACCCTACTATAAACAACCAGTTTTATAAATATTCGTTCCGAATTTTATCCTCAACCAGTTATCTAATCTAATTTTAAAAGAAAGTACAGTGGAGTATAAAGTTACTTGCTCGGGTAGTTCATTCCAGTATTTTGTTGATCTATTATATAATTGGTTGTGTCTTGGAAGACAGTTTGGAACATATTTACGTCTTATTTTAAGATGGTGACCACATGACAATGAGTTAATAAATTTTGATTTATACATATTATTAATTATATCAAATCGATGTATTAGTTTAAAAATTTGTATTAGATTGCATCGTAGGCGCCGATATTCGAGTGATGGTAAGTTTAGTCTTTTAAGTCTAATCGTAATTTTTTTTTTATTATTTTCAAAAGAACAACTCTCTTTAGAAAAAATGCCTATTTATTATTGCAATCAAATCAAAAATGTAAAAAAGTGTTTTCTGATCCTAAGCTCCATGATTCCTAGTTTACTAAATCTTGTATCTTCTCTCAAAAATTAGGCTCTAGTGACTTTTGGAAAATTTTTAAAAGCGTCATTAACAAAAGTAACCCTAGCATTCCATATCTAATTTAAGGGACTCATTTTATTACCTCTCCCTGACTGACCTTATTACCTTCTGCAAATAATCCTTAATATTACAAAGAACTATTATCTACATAAACGACCTTCCTGTCAGTCTTACATCTAAAGTGGCTCTATTTGCTGATGACTCAACTTTATGTTCCAGTCTCGAAAAAAAGTTCTTTTTTTTTGATCGCTTAAAACAGGCACCCGATCTTGAATCTGATCTTACTTCTGTAAAAGATTGAGATTTGCAGTGGTTTGTAAATTTTTTGGGATTTGCAGTGGTTTGTAAATTTTTTGGGATTTGCAGTGGTTTGTAAATTTTAGCTCCAATAATAATATCGATAAGACAAATGTCTTCTTCTTGCCTCTGCTATTTGCATTTACATATGTTTTATGTTATGAATAAATTTATAAAACAAAAAAAAAAAAAAAATTGCAGTACAGTACATACTTATATAAATGAAAAGCAACCCTCTCTCTCAGTCTTCAGTGAGTGTTTTTATTTCGTAAGCACAAAAAACAGAGATTTCCTGCATTCGTCATGATTCTTTTTTTCGTATTTTGATAGAATAAAGATAAAGTTTGATAAAATAAAAAAAAAGTCAAGTTAACTTTTAAAGATTTAACCTGTATTGTGATTTATTTTGTGTTTTATTGTGATTTATTTTAATAAATACTATATTTAAAACAAAGCTACTAAAAACAAATATAAAATCACAATTCAGTCTTTAAAAAAAAATAATTGTAAAATCCAAAATTAAACTTAATTTTCATTGAAAACTGAAAATCAATTTTTTTCTCATGGACGCAGTAGCCTGATTTTGGGATATATATCAGTGTGACTACCTATTTGTGTATTACCGTACCTCAAAAGGTTTTTCTTGGGTCAGAAAGCCCAAATTAATTTACATTTTGTGACACTGTGAGCTGCATAACTTGTTACGTAGGAGTTTAACGAAGTTTTAGCTCGGCTAAAACTTCGTTAAACTTGTGCTTAGTAATTTTATCATTAGATAGATCGCTAGAGCTGGATTTTTCTCCCAAAAACACACTGAACGTGTTTTTTGGATGCACGATATTTGATGCCAGATAAGGCCTTATATTATTAATTTTTTATCCAATTCTTATCGTATATTTATTTCATTCGTTATAATTTTGTAATTTTAAGTCAATTTTTGTGGCATTATATTGCTTGAAAGATTTTTTTTAAAGTTCTTTTTTTTTTTTAAGAAAAATCTTGATATAGAAGACTTTTTTCACTAATTGATAGCCCCCCTCCTTCCCCATACACACACTTCAAAAGACGCGTCGTCGGTCCTGTTAATTAAATAAACTTTTGAGGAGATTTTTTTTTTTTTTAATTTTAATTCACCTCCTCAAGGCCGAGAAGGCCACTACAGACGAGGAGGCTACTAGATCAGATTGCTTTTAAAACTTTGGCTTTCCCATTGCTATTTTTTATACACAAATAATATTCTTAAGTTCAAAAATTGGTCTTGGTCTCATAGTGGTAGTTGCGAGTGTTTTTTACAGTATCATGAAAGAAATAATAATTATGAAAACAATGAAAATTATACAGCATAATGAAAAAAGTTTAGAAAAACCGGTTTCAACTAACCGGTTAAACCGGTTTAGTTTTAACTAACAGATCAACTAACCTTACCATTTAATTCATATCCCGGTGTTTGTAAATTAGAGTGTTCTTGTGGCTAATGTTATATTGGTGAAAAATACTGGACGTCATTCAAAAGGGTAGCAAATTAAAAAACCTAATATAAAAAATGAGATTTAAAAGAGGTTTTTCTAATTGTTTAAATAAAATCGAAAATGAGGTTTTTATCTAACGGGTTATGACAAAAAAACTGAATGTTTTTCCAAGAGTACTTACTCCATCAAATGTTAATTCAAATAACTAAAAAAGTGATGAAGAAAATTTTATAAATTTCACCTTTTAAAACACTCCAAAGGCATTATGAAAGGTGAAGAAATTTTTTTGGAACATTCAATGGGTTTATTTTTATTAACAAATTTTATACTTTTTTAAAACTTTTTTTATCTAAAAGGTTTAAAAACAGACTTAACAGCTGTTAAAAACTTAATTAAATGATCAAGCAATTAATTTTCTATTTTGATTGGGAGCCAATGGGAGCCAAACATGACTTAATTAGCCAATAGGAGCCAAACATGACTTTGTAAAATCTAAAGGTTTCCGAGCCATCCAATCAAGACAACTCTCAAACTTGTCAGAGTTAAAAATTGGATTACTGGAATAAAAATTATTTTTTCTATTAACTGTTATTGCTTGAAAATAAAATGATAATAATAATCATTAATTCATTCAAAATAATTGAACACAGTGATCACAGAACAAAGTGATCTTATTTTCAGCTTTTTTCATAAGTTCTTTCTGGATCTGGATATTTTTTATGAATTTATCTCTGCATACTTTTATACATTTTCACAAGGAATCAGTTTCATTTGGTTTTATTTTATTTTAAGAAAAAAATGTAATGCAATAATAAATAATATAATTTATCTAAATTATTTAAATCGAAATCTATAATTCTAAAAATTAAAGAAATAATTATTTACTCTTTATATCATTTTTTTTTTTTTTTTCATTTATATATTATAAATAAAAAAAACAAAAAACAATTCAAAATTCGATAAAAAAAAAAACAAGCACAACAATTACATTGATAAAAAACATTTAAAAATATACTAAGTAAGAATAAACTAGTAAGAATTTAGAGATAAAGTCTATAAGTTAAAAGGTAACATAAGATGAGATAACATAAAGTCTATGAGTTACAGATAACATCAGTATCAGTATAAGATAATATCAAGTCTATGAGTTAACAGATAACATAAGATAACTTAAAGTCTATGAATTAAAAGATAATATAAGATGAGATAACATAAAGTCTATGAGTTAACAGATAACATAAGAAAAGATAACATAAAGTCTATGAGTTAACAGATAACATAAGATGAGATAACATAAAGTCTATGAATTTCAATTTTTTTTTTATATTGAATTAATGTCAACAAAAATAAGTTTCAGTTTTTGGTGATAATTAACTTTTTTTTTTTTGTATAAAAATTAGCACATTTAACACAAATTTGATTTAATTTTTTTTTTTAACAAAATCTTGTTCTAATTTATCAAACTTTAAGAATTTTTTAATGAATGACCTTTAAAAATTTCCCGATATCGATAAAAGCATCCACACAAGCATTTACATCGTCAATTGAGTGCGCCGCAGACATTTGAACGCGTATTCGAGCTTTTCCTGTTAATTTGAATTTTTAAAAATTAAATTTAAAAATTTAGTATCAACGAAACAGATAAATTAACGTACCAACATCTTACAAAAACAAGATACAAACCTTTTGGTACAACGGGATAAGTAAATCCAATGACATAAATATTTCGAGCTAAAAAAAAACCAATATACAAATAAACAATTTACCTAAAATTTTATTCACCTACTTTTTATCTTTAAATAGCACTGTTTAATAACATAGTCTTATATTAACATAGTTTTATAACATAACATTGTCTAATAAGATATGTTTAATATGTTCCCAACAGCATGTGTTTAATTTTTTTTTTATTTATTTAATACACAAGCGGTTTGTATATTAAATTTTTGACAAAACCCTAAAAAATATTACATAAATAACTTACTCAGCATTTTGTCAGCAAACTGGACTGCAGTACGTTCGTCTGGCATCATTACTGGACATATTGGATGATCGTCTCCCTAAATATTCACAAAACAAGTCATTATACTAAATTCTAGATTAATATATAAACTAAAACTGTTAGAATATTTTCTCACACTTACAATGACATTAAAACCAGCTTGAGTCATTCTTTTTCGAAACAACTGAGCATTCTTAGATACTTTAGAAGGTAGATCAGTGCCTTGCAGTAGAATTTCAAAAGCCTAAAATTAAATAAAAATGACCAAAACATCAACTACACAAGAAAATGACCAAAACATCAACTACACAAGAAAATGACCAAAACATCAACTACACAAGAAAATGACCAAAACATCAACTACACAAGAAACTAATTTGTAAAACACTCTGGAGACCAAAAATTTTCAAAATACATAATTAGCACATTCAACAAAAAATTATACCTTATCAGCTGATGCAACAACAGGAGGAGGTAGTGTATTAGAAAAAAGGTAGGGTCTTGACTTTTGACGCAACAAAGAAATTAGCTCTGATGGACCTGTTGTGTAACCACCTTTAAAAAAAAAATTATTTTATCTCAAATTTTTGCCTAGAAGAGAATAATATATGTTTTAAAATATATTTTGTATAAAACTAAGAAAATGCAGGTATTTGCATCAAAAGACTAGACCCAGCTGTAAAGCCAAAGTTAACTAAAAAAAAAACTTAGAAGGAAAATAAATAAAGTTATGTTAAACAGATGTTCAGTATAAAACTATAGTAAAGCTCATACTCCTAGTGGAAGCCATAATTTAGGAGCTAAAACTCGTAAGTTATGACTTCCACTAGGAGCATGAGCTTTTACAGCAATTATATTATTCTAAATTTTAATTAAAAATTGTTTTTAATATATGAGCAATAAAAGATTTTGGATAGCAAATGAGGTGATTTACATTAAACCGATTGTAGTGGATTGGACCTGATTTAAAGTTTATTATGATGCAACAGACACCCTAAAAGGTGTAAGTTTCTTCAGTAAATTATTTCATTTTTGACAACCAAACCATTATCTGCATCTGCATTTGAACTTGTCTATAAAAATAGCTATTAAGCTCTGAATACTATTACATTCTGATAAAATAGCAGTAGCATTTGCCTTGGAAGCACCAGTTTTACTATATATAACTACATGAGTCAAATAGTTTTGCAATATAAGTTTTGTAGAAGCATAAAGGAGAGGGAGATGGAAGAAGTGGTCATGGTCCCAATTTAAATTCTTCAATTAAACCTTTTGTTGTTGGATTGTTGCTTTGTGTATCTGTAAGAAGAAAAAGAGAAAGTGATCAGAAGTCTTTCTCTTCACTTTCTTTTCTCTTCCTTAATCTGTGTCTCAAATGGTGGAAATGCCCATATATATTGCAAGAAACCTTTTAGAAATAAAACTTTTTAGATACAGACACAGTACTAATAAAGTTTTTGTTGGACTGTATTAGATTGCTTGAAACTGTTAACAAACAACTACACCTCTAATGGTGTAAATCAAAGCAATTTTAACAAAAAGTTAGACACAGCTTCTCTATTAGTAAAACTATGCTTTTTTTAAATCTCATTAGAAGATCTGTTTAGATTAAGTTTCTTTTGCAAAAGGACCAAACTATTGAAAGACGAATTACAAAATTAGAATCGAAATTTGGCCAGACGTATTTTTGAACATTTTCAGGTACTGAGAGCGTTTTCATGTTACCTTTATTTACCAAGCAAATAATACAAGTTACCAAGCAACAACACATTATATCTAGAAAGCAGCTGAAATAAGTTATTTTGACTACCATTATGGCTGATTTTAAAAAAACTATGAAAGAAAAAAAGCAGAAAATTATGTTTCAATTTTGAAAAAATGAATACTTGGCAGATTTTTCTGACAACTTAAATTGTGTTTACACTAATGCATGATTTAATTTATATGATTAAATGCATAAAAGATATATAAAAATGCTAAAAAAAAATTAGGAGTAAGGAGAGTTTTAACCTGGTGGTAAATTTGGAAAACCGTGCTTTTTTATTATAACAATGAATTTTGGGTAATCATATATAAACCCTTTATTTTAATGTTTTGTAAAAAGTAATCCTAAAAATGTATGCAAGAATAAACCTTCAAAGAATAAACCTTAAAACAAAACTCCTGCAAAGAAAAATAATAAGGCAATTGACAATCGACAACACATGTGTGATATTTTAACTACACCTCAAAAAACTGTCTAAAAAAAAGTCTTAGGATATCCTTTAAGCAATTTGATAAAGTAGTTACATTTTAAATCAAATTTTTAAAATTTACATTTTAAAAATTGCACACCAGTGTTACTAAAGATTGAATCCTAATTATTTCAAATTATTTCAATTATACTTGTTATTTATGAGAATATTTATAGAAAAACTTAGATAAAATTAAAAGAAAAAAAAGATTAAAATTATATAAAATGATATATGTTTGGTGAAATGCAGAAAATCAAAAACAATTCGAATAATAAAAAAAAACAAGTAGGAAAGACAAAAATACAGTATACATTTATGAAATAATTTATGGAAAAAAAAAAACTCAAAATTGGTTGGATAACAACAGAAACAAACAAATTACTTGATGTATCATTCTAAAAAAAACCTTAATATATTCTACAATCAAGAACTTGGTACTTGGGCCTATCACCATCCAAATTGTCCTAAAACAGAGTTAAGGTTTGGTGAACTATTTGGAATAGCTTGCAGGAAAGCTGAAATGGTTTAAAATAGTCAGAGTTTAAAAATGCAGAATATATCTACTTGTGTTTACAGAAGAAGATTTCGCTGCAGTTACGACTAATAAAGATTTTTAATCAGTTTTGTAAATATATCAACAATATCAACTGTAATATCAACCAAATATAATTTCTAAACTAAATATTAATTCTAAAATTCTGAACCCAACAAAAGGACTAAAGAACTAGTTTACATTTTATTTTCTAACATCTGTTTTTTTCTAACGACTGTTTAGGAAGGTTTAAAAGTTTCAAAGATTGAATTATCATTTATTATCAATTATTTTATTATCAATTATTTTATTATCAATTATTTAAGAACATTGTATGTACTTTTTTTTCAAACAATTAAACAAAATATTAATTAACATAAATTAATAAACACAAACAAATCCTAAAAAAAAGCTTTCAAAGGGATCCCAAACCTCTGAGACATGTTGTGTTCATATTAAAGAGAATGATTTAAAAAAAAATGTTGTGGCTAAATTTTTTTGAAAAGGCTACATTTTTTTGAAAAGGCTAAATTTTTTTGAAAAGGCTAAATTTTTTTGAAAACAAAAGGGCTAAATTTTTTTGAAAATAAAAGAATAAATGAATACCAAGAAAAACTAATTTTTTTTTATTTTAGTCGAAGCTTGCCTTCTCCGTTTTATTGTAGGCCTAAAAGTCAGCATAATATACATCGCAATCTACAGACTTGATAATTTATTCAAGTATGTTTTATTCCTAAGAGTTTCAGCACATGACGTCATTGATTTTTTTTGTTTGTGCAAGAGATGGATAATGTAAACAAACAAAAAAGTCAATGACATCATGTACTAAAACTCTTAGTACATAATGTCATTAATAATTAATAAAACCTGCTTGAATAAATGATCAAGTCTGTAGATTGTGACGTATATTATGCTGATGTTTACCTACAATAAAACAGTACAATAAAATAAAAAAGTTAGTTTTTCTTGGTATTCATTTATTCTTTTGTTTTAATCAAAAAATTTAGCCCAAACATTTTTTTTATCATTCTCTTTAATATGAACACAGCGTGTCTCAGAGGTTTGGGATCCCTTTAAATGTGGGATTAAAATTTGTTCTTTTAATTACAAATACCCCTGAATAATAAGGCTTTTAAATAATTAAAATCACCCCTTTTCCAACATTTCTATTTTGGGACTGAAGAGATAGCAAAGAAAAAATAAAGCAAATTCATCTATTTTATAAAAAATCAAATTGGCCCTCCCCCTACCAATGACACAAAAAAAAACTATTATTTTAACATAAAACTATTACTTAACTTGGTTTTATATATAATGATATTTTTGTATATAAAACTTAATATAAAAACCTAATATAATATATATAAAAAATAAAACTTAACTTTTTTTAAATTAAGGTATTTAAAATTAATCCAATTTTAATTACCAGTAACTATTTTTAGTTTAACATCGTTTATTTGGTATCCCTTTCACTAAATTCATCATTTACACTTCAGAATCCTTGAACTACTGACCTCTGGTGAAACAACCTTACAGTGTTAAAATTGGAGGGTAAATCATGCAAAACAAGTTACTAAATCACAAAGTAAATCCCAACAAGAAGATCCTTCAACTTTAAAATATAAAAACTGACAGCCACAGAAAAATGTTCAAGGTTTTTAAGGCACCATTAAAAATATTTTTTATTCAAAAAACTTTTAAATCCAGTGTTATTGTATCAATTGAACACATTAAGGTGAGACCTGTTGATATTTTTTTTAAATATTGTTTTTTGAACCACCGCATATAGTATGAAATTGGATAAAATGTTAAAGCTGATGGCACAAAACATGTGCTGCTCTCTGTGTTTATAAACACATAAGTTGTTTAAAAAATCTTTGTAAACAAATTTTGAATTTTTAAAAACACAATAACTCATTAAACAGAAATCAAAAATAAAAAATATGAGTGAAGAGTTAATTTATAATTTTAATTTAGAAAAAATTAGCACAAATTGTCTAAAAATATTTGATTGAGTGATAAAAATCAAAAAGGTTTAAAAGATTTTAAGCAAAATACATTTTTTTAAACTGTTGTGATGTGATAAATATATCTATAGGGCATTGGTATGCATGTGTTATTTGAATTTTATGGTCTAAATATAAATAATCTCTTATAAATGCAATTTAAAACACTTTCAATATAAATTCTAAATTATTTTATTTTTGCTGTAACTGGATATAAAAATGAAAAAAAATTTTCAGATCTAATAAACAGGGGAAGGAGGAGGAGGAGGTAATAAAAGGTAGGGGGGGGGTGGTTGAGAATATTTTAATGTTACAATATAAATATTTTTTAGAAAAAAGTTAAGTTTATAAATCCATATAATTTTCAACAAAACATGCTTAAAATTGTTTAATTCTAGCATAGCTTGCGGTCAAATGTGCATTTTCGAACAGCTGCTTTATCATAATTTTATTAAGATTTAATATGCTGATATAAGTTTTATATTTTGGTGAAAATTAACCAAAAACTAATTTTTGACAAATAGAGATTTACTAGGTCAGCGATTTTTAAAGCCTGTTTACACTGAAAGTTAATGTTTTTATCAGTGACTGAAAAAATTGTTTTCAAATATTTAAGGCCGATTTTCACTGATTATTTTTTTTAGTTTTGAGATATAAAGTTTTTGTTGACAAAAATAAAAATTAATAAAAGCAGGGTCTTAATAAGCTTGGGGTGTGTGGGAAAATTTTCTAAAAATTTTTAAACGTCCCCCCCCCCCTTTTTTTTTTTTATTAAGGACTCGAGAGTATCTAAATTTTGTTTCATTAAAAAAACAGCTTTTATTGAAAGAAAAAAAAATGTTATTAATTAAAAAAAAAAAGAAAAAGTCTACAAATACACAATAACATACTTTTACACTAACAGACTCTATTTGAATAAAAACATCTATGATATATATTTTTTTCTTCTGCTTTCTGAAGTTTTGTCATCTTTTGTGAAAAACAAAGTATATAAAAAATACCTGCTGCCCCTCCAAGTGCTTTTCCCAGTGTGGAGTTAATAATATCAACTCTTTGTTTGATACCCAAATATTCTTCTGTACCTCTATAAAAATTTTAATGAAACTTTTATACTTATCATAAAAATAACTAAAACTTTTTTTAATTTAATTTACCTCCCTGTTGCTCCCATAAAACCAGTAGCATGGCACTCATCAACAAATGTCATTGCACTGTACTTTTCTGCAAGGTCGCATATCTGACTAGAAAAAAAGAAATAAAAAATCACAAATAATGATCTTAATTATAAGTTTCTAGTTGACATTTTTAAAAACAACAAACTTCAATGGTGCAACAGTTCCATCCATGCTGAATACACCATCAGTAGCAATAAGAATCATTCTTGAACCAGCTTCTCTAGCTGCAATAAGTTGCACTTCAAGATCTATGATTTAAAACATTACAAGATAATTTTAAAAACATTTATAAAACCATTTTAGTTAATTTTAATTTTTACCTTTCATATCTCTGTGTTTGTATCGATAACGTTTTGCCTTACTCAATCGGATTCCATCAATTATTGAAGCATGATTTAACTCATCACTAATTATTGCATCATCAGATGATAAAAGTGTTTCAAAAATACCAGCATTAGCATCAAAACAACTTATATATAAAATTGCATCTTCTCTTTGATGAAATGAAGATATTTTGCGTTCAAGCTCTTTGTGTATATCCTACATAATCAACATATATTATAAAATCAAAATATATAGTGAGCCTTAACTCAAACTTATAGTTGATGTAGTGACACTATCTTCCATGTTGTACTTATATTTCAGTTGATGTAAGTACTGAAGCCGTAGTCAGCTTCAGTACTTACACACATTGACTGTACTTATATATGACATCAGACAGTTTATTGAGGCACGCAATATAAGTTAAATACAGTGTGTGCATATATATAAATATATATAACTTTTAATGTGGATAACATTAAGCAATAATTAATTGTTGCAAAAAAAACATTTTCACCGCAATTTATTTTTGATAAGAAAACACAAAATAAATTTTTTTCTACTTTCTACTAATTTAAATTTATTAATAAATATTAATAAATTTAAATTTATTTCATTATATTTAAATTAAATTTATTATTAAATACTATTAAATTTAAACTCATTTTATTAAACTTAATTTAACCTTTAAAATTAAAAATGCTCCATGTTAAAATTTTACTTTTAAAATTTCCAAACTCTGTTAAAGAAAAGAAAATTCTTTTTAATAAATTTACTTTTAAATAAATAAAGTTACTTTTTTATGTTCGTTTTACATTCAACTATTTTGTTTATTTATTTATAGCTTCGAATGAATAAATTGCTTAAAATGAATAAAAAAAGTGCTTAATGCACTTATAACTATATATAACCCCTGGTGACAAAAATTTGACACAATCTTTGAGAAGCTAAAACTTAAGGAATTTTTAGTTATCCAGTCTTACTTTATTAGTTATTTTGTTTATAAAGAGTTAGTTATCGTTTACTGAAAGTTTTGTTTACTTAGATTAATTAATAAAAAATTTATCCAAAAATGAAGCTGACTACATTAATTGAACAAGTGTACAACAATTTTAATTTGCATCCTAAATGTAAAGCAAAGAGCATCATAGAGTATTTTGTTGCCTCTAATCACCCCAAAAGGACCTTCAAACGTTATATAGCAAAGTGGAAGAACAATGAGCCAAAGTCTTGTAAGCCTGGATCAGGCCTGGATCAGAAAACCAAAAATTATGACTGCTAGGAGCATCAATCGTCTGAAAGGTCTTTTGAACAACCGTTCTGGAACTTTAACAAGAAAAATTTCAAATAAATTTAAGTGTGATAGTGATCCTACATTAAAAAACAAAACAAACATTTAATATTTTATTTAAAAACAAATCCCTAATGATTAAACAGTTAAAGCAGTTGCAACTAAAGTGTGGAAGAATTTGTCGCAAATTCAGAAACCGTGACTTTATCATTGAGTCTTATTTTACATTTAAACAAATAAAAATTCTAATGCTGGATTTTATTCAGATGAAGCAAAAAGTGTACCAAAAAATGCAAAAGAAAAAATTTTTTTTGTGTGGATTACCATATTTCCTCGTGGAATCTCAAAACCATTTATTGTTCATGCAAGACTGGGAATTAACCAAACAGTGTACAAAAATGATTGCATCATTAAACAATTGATTTCTTTTATCATAAAACATTACAGTAATAGTAATTATGTACTCTAGCCTGACTTGGCCTCTTCGCATTATGCTAGAAGTGTGACCAATTACCTAGATGAGAAACATCCATTATGTAACAAAAATTGATAATCCGGCATATGTGCCAGAATTATGACAAATAGAAGATTTCTAGTCAATCCTTAAATGCTACGTGTATAAAAACAATTAGGAAGCTAAAAATGAAGATCAGCTGCAAAAAAGTCTCTGTTCTTGTTTAAAAAAATTGATAAAAATCTTGTACAAGGCATGTGCGAACACGTATACAAAAAAGTTGACGCAGTACGTCGTAATGGCGAGAAAGCATTATTTCAGTCCCGAAAGTAAAAAACTAATTTATTGCTTAATATTTGTACTAATTTTTTGTTCATTAAACTTTTTTTTTACTATTACTGCTTGTGTTAATGGCAAATTTTTGTCACCAGGGGTTAAATGCAAGATAAAGCTTTTAGGAAAAATTATTTTAGATAATATTTTAGTAAACTTTATAATTTATATTTTTACTTTATACAAATTAATGAAAATATGATTATTTTTGATTTGAAATTGCTATTTAACAAAAGTTTTTTTATTATAATTAATTTTGAGCTTAGAACAATCGTCGATTAGCATTAACTAGTTGGTGAGTAGTAGGCAAAGATTTTTTTTTAAGTCAAAATATTGAAAAAAAATTTAATAGTTTTTTTCTTCTGCTGACCATTGAGAAATTCACCAATAAACAATTGCCCTATCATTAAAAAAAACAACTAAATTGTGAGAAAGCAAACATTAAATTGTGTGCCATGTTTTAAGAAAAAAAGTTTAGATATAAGTTTTTTAAAATATGGAAATATCTTTTTTTTTCAAACAACATATTAAAATTTTAATGATGTTTAAAGACATTTTATAAATATTTGATAAAGATTAAGACTTAAAAATTTTTTTAATGTGGTTTCAAATTAAATTTAATTACAATGCTTTACGATACGCAGCTAAAGTAATCTAACTTTTAACAATGTAAATATTTACATTAAGTAAAGTTACATTTATTTGCATTACACTTTTCTGTCATGCAATAAAATCTCATAACAAGGTCTATATATATCAGAAAAAATAAGCAATAAATTGCCGACCTTTAACTACTTCGACAAAATTTCATATATATATATATATATATATATATATATATATATATATATATATATATATATATATATATATATATATATATATATATATATATATATATATATATATATATATATATATATATATATATATATATATATATATATATATATATATAGATAGATAGATAGATAGATAGATATACAGGCCTTATCATGAGGACCGCACGCCTTGAATGACCACGCATATATATTTTTTTGTTGATAACATAGCCACGATTTTTTTTTGCATTTATTAAAAATGACGCATTTTAAAAACGCGCTGAAAAAATCAAACTAATTAGTCATCTTATTGGTTTTTTTTTATTAATAATAATTTATTATTATAATTATTTATGAGAAAATAAAAACCTAACAATAATGCACATATATATATTTGTAATTAATGATAAAATAAAAAGATTAAAATAATATATATATATATATATATATATATATATTTATTTGTTTTCATGCATTTAATAAAATTATGGCAAGTTTTTGTTTACTAAATGAATTACATCATTAAGTAACTATTATTTCTTCCTGTTGGCTTGACAAGGTTTTAACTGAAACTTTTTATATAAGGAGAATTAAAAAAAAAAAATTTTAATTTTTAAATTGAATATTCTAGTTTTATTAAAAAAAAAAAATTATCCAAAAAAAATGTTAAACGGCCAAGAAAGAGCAGCTCTTCAAAAAAGCGTCAAAAAATTTTTTGTAAAAAACCCAAAAGCGACCAAAGCCGAAGCCGCTAACCATTTTATTAAAAAAGGAATCGCTCGCAAAACAGCATATAGATATATCAATCGACAGCTTGATGGACAATGTTTAAAAATAAAAAAAAATTCGGGTCGCCCGTCATCATGGACTCAAGAAAAAAAAGCGAAACTTAAAAGGTTGACCAACAATCGAAAAGGTGTAAGTCAAAGAAAGCTCGCACGTAAATTCAACGTAAATCAAGCAACAATTTGTAGACAATTAGCCAAAATGAACATAAAATATCGGAAACGCGAAAAAACACCGAAATACAATGATGAACAACGTTTAAGGGCACAAAAAAGAAGTCGAAAACCCGTCAATCACCTCTACAAAGAACAAAGCGTTTTAATTTTGGACGACGAAAAATACTTTTGTTTTGCTGGTGATGAAATGCCTGGAAACGCCGGTTATTACACGAACGACAAAGAAAAATGTCCAGAAAATGTTCGTTTTGTGGGAAAAGAGAAATTTCCGAAAAAAATTCTTATTTGGATCGCATTATCTGAGCGTGGAATGTCGAAACCACTGCAATAAAATCCGAAATTCATTTCGGATTTTATTGCAGCCGAAGATAAGTATCACGATGATTTAAATTACATATTTTGGCCGGATTTAGCTAGTGCCCATAGAGCTAAAGAGGCAATATCGTGGATGAATGAAATGATTAACTTTGTGCCGGTCGATATGAACCCTCCTAATGTCCCCAAAGCCAGGCTAATCAAAGACTTTTGGGGAGTATTGGCTCAGAATGTGTATGAGGGTGGATGGGAGGCCAAAAGTGAACAACAACTGATTCGGCGTATCGAAGCCTGTCTGAAAAAAATAGATTTGACATTTTTACAATCCCTTATGAAGGGTATCAAAACTAAATTAAGATTAATAGCCGATCAAGGCGTTCAATCGATTTACAAAAAATAATTTTTAAAAAATAAATATTGTGTTATTATTTTTTAAAAATGAAAAATTTTTTTTCTTTTATTTCTTTAAAAATATAAGGCTTTGATTTTTGTGTCACTAATTATGCATCACTCGTTATAAAGATGTAAAACTAAAATATTTTTCTGAAGTTGCTCTTGGTCTTGCGAAAAAACTATTTCCAGTTTGATAACTTTCATAAATGTTATGAAAAATTACTCAGTAAGAGTGCCACCAGTTTTTAAAAAATTTCTTTGTTAATTATTTTTAATGAATGAGTTCAATACTTATGCAATTCTTTTGTTACGTAACTTTAACTCTTAATAATAGATAAAAAAAAATCATGGTAACCGCTCGATAATGTACGTGATGTAATTTAAGTAAAAAAATACAGTATCAAAAAAACAAGTTTATTTTAAAAAAATTTTTATAAAAATTTAAAATTGGTATAGAATTATCTGCATTTTGTATAAGTTTCTAATACAAACTGCTTTCTAATACAAACTTACTGATTCGCAGAAATGAGACCTATAAGTTGAATTTGTTTTTTTACATTGTTTTCTGTGTAACATAAGTGCAAGTGGCATTTTTAGTAATAAGTTTGCTTTCTTTTGGCCGAACTCAAAACTTTTAAGCTTATTTTATT